TTTATAGCTGTTAGATTTTCTCTGTACAAAACCCAGCTAGGCGGTACTCACATCTCTTCTTTGTATATGTAATCAGCTGTGATATCTTCAAGTGTATGTAGGTACGATAATCCCCATTTTGATAGTCCTAGTTCAAAGATCACAGATTGGAAGTTGCACAAGATGCAAGTCATCGTAGGCCTGTGTATGTGTGTGTGTGTGTGTCTGTGTTCTGAGTGCATCTTACCTGGAGTTTTCAACTCGTGAACCAGAGGAACTAGAAAGCTGAAATTTTAAGGAAGGGTGCTCTACCCGCATGTGATTTCGCAAATTCAAAAACAGCGTTCGCGTACACCTAAAGTTCACATGCGACGATGTGGAAGTTTTAACACCCAAATTAATAACTCAGAAGACACAAATGCAAGGAAGCTGCAATTTTACGAAGATTTTCTTGGGCCGTATTTGACCCCGTAAAGTTAAATTCAGCATTCGCGTGCGCTTACGTCTCACGAAGGAACATGTGAAAGTTTTGGTGTGAAAATCATTAATTCAGGAACCAGAAAGGCTAGGAAGCTGAAATTTTAGGAGGATGTGCCTACACACACATGAGCCCGCAAACCCAAACTCAGCTCCCAGCCTCTCCTCCGTATCCTTAGATCTCACGTGGGAACACGTGAAATTTCTGGTGCCAAGTTCAATAATTCGAAAACCACCAAAGCTAAAAAGCTGAAATTTCAGAACAGTGCTCCTGCCCGCATGTAAATTCAACTCCTGTGTACATCGAAATTTCAGGTATTGATAAGCGAAAGCTTCGGCGCCAAATTGGTAGCTTAGGAACCACAAAAATTTCTGCACTTATCAATCACTAATAAAAAAAGTGGTGATTTTTAACAGCAAGATTCCTATGGACAGAGTTGCAGAAGCGTCAGCTGCGAAGAGTTTCACAAAGCGCATGATCGCATTGGCTACCCTGGTACGTGCCGCTATTTTTTGAAAAAGGCATGGTCAGTCAGCAGTTTAAATGTCTTACGGAGGTTACAGAACCAAAGAATTTATTTTTTATTCCTCCTGCTGTAGTTCTGTTTCAAACGTTCAGGTCGTATTCTGTCACTTCCAGTTCCCAATTTGATATTAAAAAATGCCAATTGCTCAAATCTCCTTGTGAATGCACCGACGCCTGTGGGGTTTCTGTGCAGTTCCTAACATCCTCCTCCATTCCTTCTCCTATGAGTAATGGCTGTGATGGAAGAAATTTGGGAGAGCTCGCAACAGGTTAATTGAAGAATCACACAGCACACAATCGACGGAGAGAATGTGACACATTAGCATTTCTTTTTGGAAAAATAACACAAGAAAAAACACGGGGAATATTATTAAACTGTTTACCAGCTAATACAGTCACGGCAACCACCAAAAGGTTTTTGGTGAAGCAAAATATTAAAGTAAAACATAAAGAAGAAAGGCAAAAAATTTATCACAGACAAAAACTCAAAACAGCTTATCAAAACTGAGATATTACTAGCAAGCTCGAAAGCAACCTAATGATTCGTGGATGGGTAACAAGCACATGCGGGGCGCAAGAGCAGAACAGAGTCTCAATGCGGCAAAGGAGTTTACCGAAGAATGGAGCCTAATAATTTCCCGGCTTGTTGCAGTTTTCCAAAAAGAATACAGCAAAAGGAAAACACTAAAACTGACAAGCCTAGAATGAAAATGCAGCGTATCTCGGGACATTTGCTGCAATTCATAGCGCGTTCTCCAACAGTGCAGATAGCAACTTCTGCAGTTGCTTTTATAAAGTACCAGAGTACCTCCGTCTAGGCCACTCCTTTTCCTTCCCCAGTTTCTCCACCACAGGGAAAAGGCATCTACTTGAAGTAGATATTTTGAGTACTCTCAATCGTTTATAAGTGAAAATCTGCTTTTTAATCACCGAATAGCTATCTTCCAAAGCGTCGATCTCTTGAGGAATAATCATGCAAGTAAGAAAGAAATTGACGATATGAGAAATTGCTAGCAAGATTTCTCAGTGAAAGAATCTCCGTAACTCTCAATGCCCAGGCTGGGTAACCTGCCAATGTTTCTAAATCTCCTATTCGTAATAAAAAGTCTGGTTCATAGATATGTTCCTGAGCGAGGCACTTCGATACCCGTTCAAGCGTTATTTCTGCTGGCTCATGTGATCTGCACAACTGAAATTTATAGAAATTCGGTTTTTGAGCCAATAAAGGATCATGCAAAACATTTAATTTTTTAATGAATAAATAACTGGAAATGCTAGACTGCGCTTTAACCTTCTTTTCACGTTCTTTCTCTTACCTGGGTGAATACGAACCAAAAGTATGCAGCCCAAGATTGAGGAGCTTTAGCTGCGCTCGGCGTGTAGAAGCATAAAAGTAACACCACTGACGGTGCAGTTCCACACTGACAGTCTCAAGT